GCCCTCCCCTCCTCCGCCGCATCCTTCGCCGCGCACCGCCCCCCGCCCGCAGCTGCCGCCTGCCCGCCCGCCTTCAGAGGCGGCAGGAGGGAGGCCCAGGGAGACTGTCCACCAAAGGGCACCTAAGTGAAGGTTAAATACCTTGACTTTCTCTGACCGCTTTCGTTCCTGGGCTGGCTGGCTGTCTGCAAGCTGCCCGTGGAACCACGCAGTCGGTTTTAATGTGTTTTAAATGAAGGCTCGGATGCTTCCGCCTGATGCTAGGAGCTAAAGGTTTTCAGAGAAGCACCCCAGGTGTCTGAGGGTTGATGCGAACCATTGTTCAGCTTGTCGGTGCTGCTGGATATAGTGACAGCAAACTGAACTGAGTAAGCTAGAAAACATGATACTGTGTTTGGCTAATACGGTTCTTAAAGCAAGCAAAAAGTCAGGTCCCTTTGCGCCCTTAAGGTGAGTGCTACGAGCTCGGTCAAAGAAAGAGAAATAAAACATTCTGTTTAAAATTAAAAATAAAGATTGTTTAAGAGAATTGAGAACAAATATTTGTGTTGGGATGCCGCCATCTCCTAAAGCTCCAAGGCAAGAGTACAGGGGTCAGGGGTGAGAACTCCCCTGTCAGCAGGCAGCAGCAGATCCCTCCCTCCCCGTCTGCCCTGCCCATTTATCTGCTGCCATGGAGGTACCTTTGCTCCCTTCTGTCCTACCTATTGCACATATCTGGGCACCTAGCTCCCGCTGAACCTGGAACCGATATGAGCTTTTCATGGAGACAGCAGATAAACACTATTTTGCCCTTGTCAAAGTAAATTCAGTCCAGCTTCACTGAAGGTCCACACTTTTTATAGGGGTGCTGGTATCTCTGACTAGCTCCTCTGCCAGGTGCTTGGACTGCTGTGCAGCAGCTGCTATTGGGCTGTAATGGGGGTGTCCTGGGTTGTGCAGAGCAGTGTAGCACTGTCAGCAGCTTTCTGGGAATTGTAATATGAAGCAGCCCCTTGCTGATGGCTGTTACCAGCAAACATTGCCCTTTTGGGTAGTGTAAGCAGACAGCTGCCGCAAACCCAGCCTGTGCATGCAGTGTCTGGTCGATGGACTGCTTTCCTCGGAGGCATTTTGCAACTAAGCTGTAGCGTCATGATTGAGGAAGACTGTCTAGAGCTTGACAGTTTTGCCTGGTCTCTGCTAGTCGCCTGGTCTCTCCTTCCAGCTTTATCTATTGCATATCTCAGTCCCGTTTACTGTCCCTGCATTTCATTTACTTTCACATATCATTCACTTTCTTGCCAGCAGCATCCCTTAACATGCCTGACCTTTCTTCTCCCATGTAGAGCTGTGCAATATTCAGCTCAGACCTTGGCCAAACCTGGAATTTCTGTTACTGGGCACACAGCTGTAAAAGTTTGAGGAAGGATTCTTATTAATTCTTTGCATTGTAAAAACACCTGCAGGCTTCTGCTGTTGTAGAGAGCATCATGATAAGTTTGTAAGGGAATATATACCTCACAAAAAAAAAAACCCTAAAATTTTCCTATTACGATTCTGCTCTCCTGTAATAGCTGTCTTAGGTTAGTTGTACTAGAATCCATCTAACCCCCCACCCCCTTCCCCAGGTGGGTTTGTTGCCAGAAGAGATCTTTTGATGCTTGGTTAAGTGGGTGTGTAAAAATCTTTTAGTGGTATAACTGTCTTAACTGTATGGCTTTGGTCTGAGTTTAGGCAGTGTTCACACCTCTTCTTCTGGCCATGTGTTTGTGGGCAGAAGGTAGCTACCTACAGCCCCTCTCCAGCTGCTTTTCACTATTGTTTATTTGACCTACTAGTCTAGCAGCTTCTCTTCGACTGTGTAGGGAACAAATTGCGAGAGCAGCAGATCCATTGGATTCAGCAGGGCTAGATTTAATAGTGACAGTGGTAACCCCTTGAATTGGTACAAAGGCAGAAGCAGATGTCTGAGCTCAGCCCCACACAACAATAAATTTCTAGTGTGGAGCTGGTAATAAATGAAGGCCTCAGGTCACTTAATTCACTCTAAAAGACAGTAATGATAATGCAGTTGTGAAACAAACTACTGATTACATCATTGTCTCCTAAGCAGTTTTGGGGGTTTTGTTTGTTTGTTTTTTTTCTTTTTTTTCTGAGACACCGTATAGAAGTGTCATTTAGATCTTGGCTGTATGATCTCGTGCATATCAGATGGATGAGGGTATTTCTGGTACCTTAGACACATGGCTACAGCTGCAGGGATATGCACTTTCCAACATGAGGCAGGTGGCAGAACCTTCTAATTCACTCAAATATTCATGGTTTTGGTGGTCTGCAAAATTGAGAACTTTGGTGATTTCCAAAATATATGCACTTTATAGAAGCAGCTCCTCTGAGCAGGTCAGGTGTACTGTTACATCTGGGCAGCAAATGACAGCAGTGGGTGAAGCAGCTCTGACTCCAGAACTTGTGTGGTGTACTTTCTGGCTGTGGTTATATTACTTCCATTTCAGAGACAGGAGAGCTCACTGTCCCTGCGTCATGCTCTGTATATTGGCAGAGCTGTACATGAAGGCCCCAAGGCCTGTTTAAAACATGAGCTAATCAGCTACCAGTGAGTAGTAGCAAAGGTCTTGCAGCAGTGCCCAGGGAAAAGTCACCTTTCCAACTAATCTCCAGAATTCTGGGAGAAGGGGTCCAAATCCTGGAGCTTCTGTCATGTAGAATTTGAAACCCTTGATTTTGCCTTATTTCTAGGAGGAGAAGGGAAAGCGTAAGTCAATTTTCTTTCCCGAGGACAGAACATCCCGATGCTTACAATGTATACTGATGCTTATGCTGTCCTTTCATGAGCATCCCCTTTGCTATGGATATAAGATTATGCTCTGCATGCTCTTTTTTTTTCGATTTTCTTATAATTTACAGATAGGCAGATGGAGTGCTGCTTTTTGCCAAAACCAGGACATTGCCAAATATAGTTTTCATGAACAACTTCACTTTGCCCCTTACTACATTCTGATATTATCTCTTTTGCTCAGTAAGGACTTTCATGAGTTAGACTTGGGAAGAGAGCACAGTGTTCCTCCTTGCCGAGAGCCCCAAAATGAAAGCTTTAAATTTAATAATCATTGTATGATTATTAAATATGTATGATAACAATCACTGTAAGATTAAGTTCACATTTACACTCAATTCATGTTTTAGGCTTTACTTCTAAATAATGAGGCACAGAACTTTTGTGTTTAGTTTTAGATGAAAGTTGAGATTCTCATGTTGTAAGGACATGGGACTTTAAGAAAACAGAAACTGTTTCAAGTCTTGCAATAAAACCATGAGTTTATGATGAATTTCAACTTAGAATATTATTTTTTTTGCAACTGCATGAAGCAGCAACTGATTTTAAATGGTCTTTGGCATTCTGTAAGAGTTTATTACCTATAAAGGAACCCTTCTTATTCAGTGCTCAGAGCTTTCAAGGTATGGATCAGTTATTCAAGTATACCACAAGCTAATGCAAACCTCCATTAAGTATTATGGGTGATGGGTGAAGAGAAAGAAACTGGAAACAGAGAGAGAGTAAAACATGTATAGACCAGAAGATATCAAAAGGATCCAGCTTCTGTCTCTGGCATGTGATGCCAACAATGGCTATTTCTTAATTTTGTGCCATTTTGAACTTTTTTTTTTTTGTTGTCTGTCTTACTGTCTGCTTTTCTTCTGAATTATTTGTATTATCCTTCTATTGTCTTACATCTCATCCTTAGACTATAGGCTGTTTTGGACAAGGAGTGCTTTTTCCTTGTGTTTGTACAGAAGGAAATCTAACATGGTACAACCCTGCTCCATGACAATAGCTCTTAGATGTTACAGTCACATAAATAATACATACTAGTCTTGACATAGTTGATCTCTTTGATCTGCTTTGGACAATGCTTAATGTGGGTGTGTGGGAAAGAGTTGGTAATTTCTTAGATACTAAGAGGTATGCCATAAATCTTTCCTTTTGCAAGCTCCTTGATGGGCAGGAGGTTAAGGCTGTGTAAATGTTTCTCTATCCTCTTTGCTATGACACTCCCTATCTGTGAGTGAAAAAGTGCTGTCAAATTCTTGACTGTCTCACAGCTTCATAGTGGGAAGAAAATATTTAATGAAGTCATTGGGAAAGAGGTTATATTAGTGCATATTAGTATAAAGTCAAGTATTTTAACCATTTCGGAGGTTGCTTAGATAAGGTGAATCACCACATAAAATACAGGCATCATATATTTCCTGTTCACTATTTTCATTTCCTGAATGCAGCATCCCATTTTTTTTTTGCCCTGAGCCCATTCAACTTGCTGTGCAGCTTCTGGTGTTCCGTAACTTCAAACTGCCTGTAGTCTCTGATAGACCTCGTTCCTAATATTGTGGTCAAGTATTTCTTAGTTGTTCTTAATAAGACCCTTTTTATCTCTTCTGGAATATATATATATATACAGCTGTGGTCATCAACATTTGTTTGAGAAGATAGGAATATGTTCTTCAGTTGTATCAATTAACAAAAAGCACATTAAAAGTCTTGTCTACTTAGAAATTAAGCAGCTGGAGCAAAACAAGTATTTATATTTTCCTACAATGTTTCAATGATTTCAAGTGGAAGGTTGTGGTGGGTTTGTTTTTTATTTATTTCTTTATTTATTACTGATTTCAAATATCCAAAGATTTACCATGTTAGTTTTCTTGGGTACTGTTTAGACTTTATCTATAGGTCTTCCTTTGCTTTCAGAGTTTTTTATATCATTAGTTAGTGCATATCCCAAGCAGGCTTCTAGATACCTTAAATGCTGTTAAAGAGCAAGTTAGGCATCTAAATTAAAAAGTGCCATGTTGATATTAATCTCTGTTCATCTGTTATTGTAACCTAACCCTGAGCTGCTGAAGTTTATGAACTTTCACATTTCCTAGACGCTATAAATCTTTTGCTGCTTGCATGGTTTGAATCATCCAATTCTTCTTTGACTGAGCAATCTGGTCTATATCCATCTTAGGTTCTTTAGTGTCCCAGCCTGGTAGGAATTCCCGGATCATATCTCACTTGGCAACAAAAATGAGCACCCTCCAAAATGCAATGGCATTTGCAGAGGCAACATGCTTCTTCCATTAAAATGTCATACAGGCAGGAGCAGCCTCTCTTCTACAGCAGTGCAGTTTGGAGGGTTTTAGTCTGTGAATCTGTATTTGTTTGCAGGTTGCTTGAAAGGGACAGCAGAAGACAAACAGGGCAAGTTTGGCAGTGTGATGCCTCCCATAATGGTGCATAAACTCTCACTGGTCTTTCATTTCTCTTACCCTCCAAAACATGGTGGAAATTTTATGCCTTAATACCACTGAGAAGGAGTTGTCTGAATGTCTCCATGATCACCTAAAAATTTTCTACAGAGTGAGGGAGGCAGTTGAAGGAACATTCATGTGCACAGAGACCTGATGCAAGTAAAATAGCTCCTTCCTTATTTCCTTGCCACAGGCCTTCTAGATTTTGGTGGCAGTGGCTGATGTGCTGCCGCTGCCTTGTCGTTCCTTCCACCCATGAAGTGCAGGGACTGTTGGGACTCCAGTGCCAGTAAAAAAGTGTATGCTCTACCAATTACTGTTATACAATGCTTTTTTCTAGCCTGTGCTGATGAAAATTTGTGAACAGCTGTAACAATCTTCCACTACTGCTGAAAAATAGTGTTGTCACAATGGTATTACTGGTCCTACCACTAGTCCCAGCCATACCTTTCTCTACTGGATGCTGCTGTTGTGCGTTTTCAACTTGCCAGTTGATCTTGGACAGTGTGAGTTGAATCCTAGACTGAAGCTGTGTTGTGAGTGAGAAATATTTCAGTCTCACTCATCATTGTACTTTTCTTTCAGAAAGACATAAAATTATTTTACAGTTAGTACAACCCAAAAGAAAAAAGGGAACATTCTATCATTGCTGCTTGGTCTGGAAAGAGAATTATGTTGTATGCCCCAAATTGGAATGGGCTGCATAGTTACTGGCTTCTCTGATGAAAAAGCATACAGAAGAGCTGTTACCACCTGCAGCAAAAAGCATGGCAACAGAAATGCAGAATAGAAAGAAACTTATTTTACTGTGTCTTTCAGATAATATTGTTGGATGCCAAATTCAGTGGCTGAACACATTCAAAAACCATTCACATATCAAATCAAAAGGAGATTTCTATTTTACCTTGTGGTTAGAGGAGCCCACAAATGTCTCTTCTCTTACTGATTTTCATGAATGCGAGAAATATGAATTTGGAAAGACTTTTGTGTTTCTTTTTGGTGCCATTTAACAATTTGTGTGCAGAAGGTACAAAAGAAAATAATATGGAAGGAGGTTAGTGCGCTGGATTTATGCTGGTGTTGTGGATTAAATGGTAGCCATGGTGGTTCTGATTCATAAAGTCCATGTGGAGCTTTATTGTACTAGCTAGTAAGGTGCCAGCCAATCTGAGAAGTATCTGGCTGCATAAACTGCTGTTAGGAAAGGTGGATCTAATTCTGTTTGTGTTGTGACTTCTTTTCTTCAAACTATTTTTCAGAGTATTCCATTCTTCATTGCTTTTATTGGCCTGGAGTTTGCTGTCAGCTGGGTTCAGAAGCGTAAGCTGTCAGGTCGGATCAATGATGGCATAAGTTCTCTTTCTTTAGGTATCCTGTCTCGACTGCCAGAGTAAGTATACATGTTATATTAGCTTTAGATTGTTTTTAATCACTAAAAAGGAAGAAAAGAGAAGTATATATCGAAGTTGTTATTGCTAACCCAAAATGATTAAACAGGGCATCTGGATCTCACTTTGCTAAAATGAAGTTGCATGAAGAGTGTAAATGTCTTTCTAATCTGTAAGGCTAAATATGATACTTGCAAGATATTTTCCAGCTCCAGTTATATTCCTCTATATTTGATCTTGGCTGTCACCTTTTGGTGATTCTGCGACTTCAGCTGACTTGACTGTATTTTATGTTAGACTGTGTGTAAAAATCTGAGTTTTCTTTCATTAAACTTCAGAAAGAAGGAAACAAAACAGAATCAACAAGCCAAGTCCATTATTTTCATTAGCCTTTAAAAATATAACCAGATTGATAGAATTGTGAATATGCATGCGATCCAAAGTTCTTTGACCTCAGTCATAATCTTGCATTGGACTTCAGTGGATTTTAATGCCTGAGAGGATTGTTGCAAACATGATCATCTACTCTACTCTCCAATGTAAAGGCCTTAAGATTTACCTGAATCAGTTCAAGGTGAACAGGGTTGTGTTTTAAAGAAATATCCACTGTGAATTGCTAAATATTCAGTAATAGGGAATCCAGCAAATTCTTTATATAAATTGCTCTAAGTGTTTTTCAGGAGCTTTCATTATGTCTAAGCAATACCATGTTTTAGATCTGCCTTTGCATGATATGAGCTTCCAGATGATAGATTTTATATCTTTTCTGTTAGAATGGGACTATATTTCTATTCACCATGTATGAATTTACAGTTTACCACCCAATTGCATATAATCTGCTCATTACATGAAGAAAAGTTTCTGTTGTTTAAATTTGACTATATGGTGTCAAGTCTTTAAATTATTCCCACAGTCCTTTTTCTGAATCTTCTGCAGTTTTTCAGCCTTCTTACTGCTGATGTCTCAAGTGCACTCCGTAGTTCAGCAGTTATTACCTCAGTGCCAAATAATGAAGTCATTTGTTCTCTATTTCTACTTGTTGTTTCTCCCTTTATATATTCCAGGTCCTCTGAGCCATCCTTCATCCCCAAATATTTTTTTAGGTTCTGTGGCTTACATTCCTCATTCATAAGTAGTATGTTCTTATATTTGGCCACATAGAAATACATGGATTGTACATTTGATCATCTTGAAATAGCTTGAATCCAGGAAATGTTATCTTTGTTACTTAGAGATTCCTGGTTTTTTGTCATTGCAAATTTTACTAGAAATCTTTTCTTTCAATCCAGGTTATTGATAAAATACACTACAAGAGCACTGCAACAAAAAAAATTATCCCTTCTGGTGGGTAGCAGCCATTTTCTGAAATGTGTCAATTACCCACTTTATAATCTATTGAACATTTGACACTTACTTGATTTTTTTTTTAAACCTTTCTTATTAAAAAAAGACAACTTGTGATGCATCATGTTAGTTATCAGTGGTAAATGTAATGGATGAATCCTTTTAAGGAGTTTTGTAGATAAATAATGGCAGACACACTCTCCCAAACTCTTCATATATCTGCAAATAAGAGGCATGAGCTTTCAGCATGAGAAATACTCAAACATAATGTCTGTTATTTGAGAATTTCATGAAGTTAATTTTGCAGCTATTGTACAACCCATATTCAGACCATTTTGTTGCTTTTAATATGCCTTGTGAGTATGATCTTGAAGGAGAAATATTCAGTTTTTCATTATATTTTAAGCTGTAATAAATTGAATATTTAATCATACGTTATCAGGGTTGTGTGTTGGTACACACAAAAGTCTAAAGGCTTACTCTAGTTTCCATGCAGCTAATACTGAAATAGTTCAAATGTTGCTTTTCAGCTTAACCCAAATTTTCTAGACAGTCATACACTTCACAGGTCTACAGTGTTAAATACTTTTTATTAAAAAAATCTGAAATATTTAGGATAGCTTAAGTTAAACAGGAGGACTGAGATATATGTAAGGTGATTTTGAATGGTTTTGTGAGGCCTTTTGGCTTTATTTTAAGAACGCTAAAATGCTTCAGATGCACTTATTCCTGGAAGAAATGCTTGCTAAGAAGATTATTGTTGCGTGTGTGGAACACAGCTTTGCAAGGTGCTGAGTACTTTTATTATTTTGGCACTCAGTACTTTGCTGCAGAATTTGGCTTGAAGGCTATGCAGTTTTCTTTCGGCTAAGAATTATTTTGCAAGATTGTTTCAATTGAGTGAACCAAATGACCCTTAAGGACACAAACTTCACAGGCTCAGGCCAATCTGCAGGATCGGTACACTTAGTTGTTGCCACACCAGCACAAGAAGTCTCTTCCAGGCCACTTGTGCGGCTCTCACGGCTGGGAATAGAAGACCCTCCTCAGCAGTTCTTTCCAAAAATCTGTAATGCTTTTAACTTTCTGGCTGAAGGTGAAAGAAGCAGGCAAAATACAGACTTCCTTAATTATTTAATGGCATGTTAATACCACAGTTCTAATGGTGACTGCTTAGTGTAATGTCTCTTTTGTGAGTTGTGAATCCTAGACTGGCTAAAAAGGCTTGAACTAAAAATCCAGAAGAGTTTACCCTTCTGTCTTCTTCTTTCATGGTGTGAAAGAACTGGGTCAAAAAAAAAGGGGGGAAAAAGAAAAGCATATGCAAAATCTGTTGCTAAGACTTTCACTTCAGTCTTTCCCTTTCAAGCAGAAAAGGTAGGGAAAGCTGACAGAAACTGCTAAAACAATATTTCAGCAGAACCCACAGCATCAGGGGAAATAGTAGTGCAAATCATTAACAGCTGAAGGTTAGATTAACACACCATTGATTGTATCCTCTCCCAGGGACTGATTTTCATTTTCTCAACTAGCAGCAATGGTTTGCCACTTCCTTAAAAAATCTGTGGTTGAATCTAAAATGGTGGCCTTCAGTCTATTAGTTTGAAGCTTCAGATGCATTGTTGCAAAGAGGTCTTTATGTTTAATGAAAAAATGAGGAGTCACAGACCATATTCAGCCTCTAAGTATGTTTTTCCATTTCACAGCCTGTATAACAGAAGTACTGCATATCTTGAGGGAAAAGAGTATTTATTCAGTGTTTCTTACTTCATTGTTGGAGAAAATGCAAATCATAAATTGTTGATATTCGTATGCCAAATATTAAAAATGTAAGTGTAAGAGAAAAAGTCTAATTGGACAAGTCAATGTGTTTTGGTTTTAGGCTTATTAGACTCAACAGCATGTAGTAGAATTGCTTTGTGCGTACATATCATCTCTTGTAAAATAGCTCATACATTTCTTAAATATAATTTTCTCTGCCTTAATGCATACTGTGTATTCCTCTGCATGCATGAATACTAAATGTTATAAGCAATGAAAAGTAATTTGGGGAAAAGGGAGAGACTTGAATTACTAGGCTTGCTCCCAGCATCCTAAATGGTGGTGGTTAAAAAATTTCTGAGAACTTTTATTCTAAATAAATAAATAACTTTTCTAACTAGCCATTGCCAGGAGACTTGAAATGCTGCTTTAAAAATATTCTCCCTGGAGAAAGTTATTTTGGGTATAAATATCCACTATACAAGTATGTGCATTATTTCATATTGGCCCATTTCTTCTTTTAAAGCAGCAGAACATAAATCAAAAAGTGTTTGGGGGATAACTGATGTAGGCACATTTTCAAACTAGGTTGGGAAAGTCTCCGTTCTTTATGGTCATGCTCAATTGCCAATTTTTAGTGTTCAACTCTGCAGCACAGTCCTACAGTGTGTGTGTGTATATATATATATGTCTAACAGTTTTGTCAGTCAAGTCTGCAATGAAATTCTCCATTTCTAAAGAGAACATTACCATTTCTATACATTATTTACTTTGGTTTCTGAAACAGAGGAGATTAGAGTTCTCTGAAGCATTGCTGAACATCAGAAAGGAACAAGGAAATGCTTTTTGATTAGTTCATGCTATTATGCATCTTAAGGTATCTGCACATCAGTAATTGAATCAAAGGAGTACAAATCCTTTCTGCTGTAGACCAGTGTATTCAGTTTTGTGTGTCATCTAGATTTTAAATAATCTTTTTCCAGAAGTTAGGTTGAAGAGGCTGTTTCATGTGCATTTTAGATCAGCACTTCTGCCAAATGAAGCACCTTTGACTGCCCTGTACTTCTGGCTGCTCATTCCTGCCTCCACATCTTCTCGCCCCTTTTACCAGCATCAGCATTTGTGTTGCCCAGTGGTGAAGTGGCCCAGGAGGCAGGTCCAGAATGCCCCATCATATTAACCTGCATCAATTCTTCCTGTGGCTGTGCAAAATCTTTTGCTAGCACAAGAAATGGGCTTGGAAAAAAAGCTGTCAGGGTTGCAGGACAAGACATGCTCAACGCTTTTGTAGCATTACTGAGTTATCCGCTTTAAAACATGCGTAAAATTGCAATCTGAAACCAGAAGTTTTCAATTCTTAATAGTAGCAATATGCAGAGCTGATTAGAATATGTTTGGTTCAAGTTGGTGCAAGCAGTTCACAACCCTGTGGAGCTGGCAGTGTCCTGACAGAACACAAAATACTTGCCTGCATGGATTTATCCATTCAAAGTATGTCCTGAAATATCTGCTAGATACTTCATGTATGACTAGAAATTTATAATCCCATAAATTAGTGACTGCATCTCTTAGCGAAAAATTTGATACATGTGGTTTCTCATAAATTACATTTTCACTTTGAGACTTATTAGGTACATTTTTTCTCCACATCTGTTTGACTAAGACTTTGGACAGATGTTTATTTAGAGCATGGTCAGATGTGTTGCTTGTGATCCAGCTGCCCCCTCAGATCTGCCAACATAACTGCACATTTAATTGCTCCCTAACCTGGTCCTGACAAAGTGATCCAGCTAAAAGCAGAAACAAAAGCCCCCCAAGAACTATAAAAGAGGTGTTTAAGCTCAGCTGCATTCATTTTGACAGAGCCAGGTCAGGGAGCAGCTATGCATGCAATTAT